TTATAAATGACTTCGTCTCTTATAACGTTAACTTCATTTACATCAAGTTCCCGTTTCTGCCATCTACTAACTATATTTTCAACCAGTTTCATTTGTTAAGACCTCGCGGATCTTGTAATTTCAACGAGAGTGCTCGTTTCACGTCACGTTACCGTCACCAGTACTTGACACGCCGTCACTTTAATCAACTCCCAAATTTAATTTTCGGTACGTCATCATGATGACTTCCTACACCACTCGTTTTGTTAATTTAAATTTCGATAAGTAGTTTAACCCTTCCCGTGAACCTGCACTTTAATATCGTTAAGGAATCATGCGTGCCTTCTTATCCCTGGAGAATTTTAAATCAAATACCTTAAATTACCATATCACTACTGATGAAATTGGTTTGCATTAAGATAATTAAACTCCGGTTCACGTGAGCAGGCAATCTCGAATTGTGAGGTAAAGCACGGAAAACTAATTAATTTGTCTAGTCGTAGTAAATCGGGAGACAGATTTTTCGAAATAAGTTATTGGGTGTAAGACAGAAGGTAGTCGGCAGGTAAAAGAAAGCTAATCGATTTTAAAAGTGTTCGATGGGCACTAATGATTAGCCTTGTACAACGGAGTTTAAACGCGAAGCGCTTCTTTTTTGTTCCGCTGGCGAAACCCTTATAAAGTTTAGGAAACAAAACAGGTGTCCAACGAACATCTGTCGAAAATTGATTTATTAAGATCTTGAGTGATTAATATTATAAAGCCATTAATCACCAATCGAGCATGATCAAAGTTGAATTATCGACCGACGTTTGAAAATTTTAAAACAAATAAGGGGCTATTAAAACTAACAAAAGATCTGCGTATTCAAATAAATCTGCCACGCTGTTGTTATAGATCATGACAGATTATGAACATTATCTTGAGTGATGGCAGTATTTTACTCAACGTCTGTATGTGCCTTTTAGTTGTGTTTTAAGTGTCATTTGTACGGTACACAGTTTGCTCGTTAATTAATCATACTAATTCGCGTACCTACTACATTTTCAAAAATCGTCTCTCGGGATTATAAAAATTCTTCAACCCCTTACGGTAATGAGGCAAAGTTTCCTTTGCGTGACGTTTGGCCAAATAAATGATCCTTAGTAAGATTTATTTTATGGGTGGCAATTTTGAATCAACCTCACCTGCAATATTTAATATACTAACGTGTTCATCTGCTTTTTAATTCGCTTTTTATAATTAAGAATTAAATTTTATTTGCAGTATCACTAATTAAACAGCATGACTCATTTACACGGTCATCTTTTTTATTAAATGATAAGCGCTTCTTTCGATATTCTTGCATGAACGTTAATTAAAGGGGAACCTTTTCAAATTTATGATAATGGAAAGTTTTATTGGTTTAATGTATGGCGCATATTTATTTTAATTTGGTATTTGAAGTATGTGTTAAAAGGTGAAAATTCGTAAAATGGAATCGTTGGGTTATGTTAATGGGACGTGTTGGTAATAATGCTGCCAATGGAAAAGAAGGTACATTTATAAGTAAATTTAGGACATTATTTTCTATAAGATTGTGTAACTAAAAGGCCCATACCTATAAAGCGGTTTGGTAAAATGTAATTTGCGCTGATGCAGTGCAACAATTTACCTGTACGCGAAATAGGTGTCAAATCCAAAATTGTTTAATAAAGTTGGAGTACGCGATAGGTATTAAATTATTTAATTTTGTGCTCATTTTACACTATTTTACTACCGTGTCATAAAAATACTGTGCGCTTAAGGATTTCGAGTTATGTTTGATTTTCAAATGGGCCTCCAACTTCATGCTTAGGTATATTCACTCATTTTGGTGTTACATATTTTATTATTATTTATTATTGCTCTTGAACATCGTATTAAAATTATTCAGGTTCATTAAAAAATGGGCGTTAAAACCACATTTCACATAATTTTGTCTAGAGGATTTCTAAATAATGTAAGGTTAATTTCTCATAACTCCAAACCTACTTATAGATCTTTGAAAAACCTTCAAGGAATCTCTGTTATCTCTGGACAAGCTGTCAACAGTATCTGAAGGGTATTTGCAAATTTTCTATAAATAAATGAAAATACTTTTGCAGAAATTCTGAGATATTCATTTAAAGATACCATAACAGAAGAACCACTAAGAATAATTTAAACGAATAGTTTTCGACGAATACTTGTATTTGATAGATATGTGAAGAACCTTTGGAGAAACTTGGATGTTGGGTCACATTTTTTCAAACATTTTATTAAAAATACCAGAGGAAATCTGAACATTTTCTGAATGAAAAATAATCTCTAGAAAAATTTGGAGACCGTGATAAAGTTTCGAACTATGAAGAATATGAAAAAAACGTTTCACCATGTCAAGCTGAAAAATATGACTAACAGATTAGAAGGTCACAGAAGAATTACACTGCCTTCTTTTTGACTGTGTCAAAATTTAGCTAAGGTTGTTCAGTTGTTCTACAACCTTTATATACTACGCTCTTACAAAAATGGCATGTTCCAACCCGGATTCTCATAGGCATAGACAAAACTCGGCAATATACCAACTGTCATTATTAGATAATGGTATTAAACATGAAGCCCAAAAAGAAGACACGCAAACTATGAAGGTTGTTTCTCAAACCATTATGTTTGCTTCATTTAAGAGGGCAACTTCGCAGGGGAGTGACTTTATATTTATACATTTTCAGCTTTGTAAAGAATTAACTCACAGTCAAATTTCGTTGAGATCAAGTTTTTTTCAACGTTCGTGATACCCACGTAATTAGAAGGTTAAAATATTTATTTGTTACTCAGTTGTAAACGTTGATTAACAAGACAAAACGCAAACGGGTAAACGTCATGTTTAAACGCTACTGACTTGTAAAACTGACAGCAGACCTGTAAAAATTTTGACAGCAGACCTGTAAAAATTTTACAAGTTAGTAATCTAGTAATTTCATTGGCCAGAATTAATGCGAAGTCTCTGTTACATGGATCACATGATATTTAAGACATTTCTTCAAGATCAATTTAAGAACTAATTATTTACGTTTACAAATGAGTAACAAATAAAATATTGTACATTATACGCCAGGTAATAGTTTTTACTGGCTCTAGGAGATGACAGGCTCGCCTAACGGCTCGCCAGTCAACTTCTCCTATCGCCAGTAAAAACTCACTTACCTGGCTAATAATGTAAAATACTATTATGTACAGCCTGATGTACAGCTTTCGATCAGATTTCTTGGCTCGAGCTCTTCTTAAATTACAACAACAAAGAATGAGGTTAACAAAGTTTAACGATAGATGGACCGTAGTTTGTGCAGGATTGGGGAACCGATTTGGTTACCGGCTGTATATAACAGTAAGTGAATAAAAAGTATTCGCCTGTAGGTAACGCATTTATCATTTGTGGATGGTCAAAGAGAGGTCGAAAACGAAAGTCGCCCTCGGGCCAAAGAACCAGTTTTAAACCTGGTAACATGAGTGCCGTTTCAGACTTCACTTGGAGGCTCGGAGTGTAACGATTTATTTTCTCCATTACGAAGCATTGTTTTTTCTGTGTAGTTAAGAGAGATGAAATTTTATTTTTTTCCTAGAATTTAAGTTTGGATTTATCTCTTAATGTCTGATAACAAATTGATTTAGAAAAATTATTCGACCTCTATTTTTTTATCTAACATACGTTGAGAGGATAGTCTTTGTTGTCAACTGTGCATGATTGGTTGTTATAATTTTGATTTTCGGAAGAAGGGTTTCGCCGTAAATAGGACGTTAACAAGAAAAGCGTCGCTTTTAGACACCGTCAACGAAGAACTACGTTTGATTAAAATTTAAAATCTGCTTTTAGCCAAAATCAGAGCAGAGTTACGTCTCGTGGAAAATTTTAAATCAGCTTTTTGCTACGTTCAGCAGCGAATTACGTTTTGTTGGAGAATTTATTTCGCTTCTTGCGAATTCCATCGTTGATTTACTGCCAGTTAGTACTTATTTGAAGCTACAGCCGACATTGAAAGTTTTCGTTCAATTTGAGTTTGAAGATTGAGGAAATTCCGTTTGCGAAGCCGGAAGCAGAATTCGCGGCTAATTATTGGTCGACGTTTTGAAGTTTTGGCAATCAAAGGTGCTGCAAGAAGAGGTGTTTGTCGGCGCCCCCATAAGTGTGTTTTCAACGTGACTCAGTTTGAAGTTGAGTTTTTTTATTGAACGTCTTTGTCTACCCGAAGAGAGGATGTTGCGATTACCCGGTCGTTAGTATAAAGTGTGTTTATTGAAAATTGTTTTTGTGAATTGTGTAAGGATACCTTTTATTTGCATATTTCAATTCCCGGTCAAATAATGTAAGTAGTTCTTAATTTTAGTCTTTTTGTAATAATTGTTTGTGTTTTTGTACCATTTTCCTTGTGTGTGTTAGAATTAAATCGCACTTTTGTAATTGTCACATTAATTTTCCGTGTGTCATTCTAACGACTATTTCTAATTTACCTGTGTTTTCATTGGATGCTTGCCCAAATTTATTCAAAATTTTGCAGTTCAGTTTGGAGCTTATATTTCATTTTATAGCATATGTTAAATTGACATTTTAATAGGTTTGAATGAGTAGGCTAAGCCGTTCTTTAACCTTAAGGATAGATAAAGTGATCACTTTAACCGTAAGGGTAGATAAAGTGAAACAGATGACTGTGAATTCTAATGACATCTGTCATTCTTATTTCAAATGCACGATATAAAATGACGTTCAGAACATATGCTACATTTACTTAATGTTGAATCAAGCACTACACAAGTAAACGTGACCATATACCTATACGTCTGGAGCACCTCTGACCTTAGTCACTAATTACTTATCACGCGTAATGCTTTTTGTGTGCCAATGATTTAAAAAGGTTGAATTGAAATGGCCTTCTCAATTGCAAAAATGCGCTGTTGAAATTCTTTTATTCTTCACAACTTTGACGCGATATACGTACCATCAAAATAAACAAAATGATTTCCCTTACCTGCCAGTCTTTGTAATAATCATTTCAGTCCCTAAATCATTAAACTTGTCCCATAAGTCTTTGGTTTCTAAATGACAAGTAACGTTCCTAAGTTCCTCACAGTTCCATCGTTCTTGCAACAGCGGATTGCGATAACTAGACGGCGATCGTCTACCGCCCGAATGACACGCAACTCCCGATTCGGAAGTCGAAGAAACGTCCGCGGGAGAATCTCTTCCACTTTCAATATCCGTCGGTGGCACTATTGTACAATCTAATCCTACAGGTTCCGGTGTTGTCGCTACTGACGACGCCGAAGTTTCCACGAACTTTTCTGAAACAACAAAAATCTTTCATTAAACAAAGTGTAGGGACCCCATGAATATTTTATAAACCCAACTCTCCATTGTAATACATGAATGGTGTAAGTTATGATTTCGTTACGCATTTGTTTAACAACTATGATAGATATCAGATTGGATTAACGTTTTATGATCGCCCAAATAATTTACTATTTTCGATATTGCATTAATAATGACAAATGTCAATGCTTTATATTTCTCACTTATAATTGCACAAGAGGTTTGTATTTTACCGAGTAAATTTGGGTTGTTTAGGTAATGAAAATCTGTTGCCTAGCAATTAGACGAGAAAAACTGTCAACTAATAAAAATGCGACACCGCAGGTGGAGCATTTTTAGGTTGACAGTTTTTCGAGTTCAATTGCTAAAAGGCAACAGATTTGAATTGCAACAACACAAATTTACTCGGTTTAAATACAAACCTCGAGTGTAATTCGGCAGGACAATTTAACGAACAAGAAATTCACATAGCTAATCAATTACTGACAGACGTCAAACTAGTCATATGGGAAAGGATAATGCGATAATTGGTTCGAAAATGAATAAGTGAAAAAACCACTAGTGCATTTGTCGCTGGAAAAGTTGCAGGTAACTTTTGCCGCTGTCAAAGTGACAATTTCACTGCGGCTTATGCGATTTTTTATACATGAGTTGAATTGTCATATATAATACCATAAGTAGTCGAAGTATTGTCGAATATTTTTGAGGTGCTGTCACGAATGCTAGTTACGCTGATTAATACCACGAGCGCTTGCTATTAAAAAGCGTAACTAGCATGAGTGGAGCAGCAGCTCAAAAATAATCTACAAATACTTCGACTACGAATGGTATTCGGAGGACTATTCAATGAATCAAAAGAAAAATTAAGCATAATTACCCACGCGAATGTATTTCCATGACAACAATAAACGTCAAAATAAATTATGGAAGTTGCTTTTCATTTTGCTATTGATTCTATTCGAACTTTTGTGCTCCAAGCTAATTCGTTATGAGTGATTAAATTAAAAGATGTGGTGATAAGTCGGTTGTCGAAATTGATTAACAAACTAAGAAGAATGTTCCGGTTAATACGACAAAATTTCGCGACATTTCACTGGTGGAAGTTTGACAAATGTCATTGAATAATCGCATTGAATTGTCGCTGAAATACCACACGTGAAATTATCGCTGAAATACCACACGTGAAATTATCACTATAATTCGTTCCCATTGGCTCAACAATTTGAAATCTCGACATTTCACTGGTCGAAATGTGACAAATGTTAGATGAATTGAATAGTCACTGATATTTATAATCAATAAAACTGGGTGGAAACTTGAAATCCCAAATGTAACAAATTCAATGGTTTTGACTATAGGTACAATGTAGCCAATGAATCGTGATAAGAAAAAGATCCTTTTTCGAGATGCATTTTCCAACAGCTTCCCCCTAGGCTTCCCCCATTTATGAGTGCGACTTCCTTTATTGTACAACATACAAGAGGGGAGGTATCTACTTTAAATTGGTTTTAGTACGCATTTGGAATGATTGTTGTTGTGGCTTCCATTTCCTTTTTTGTCATTTTATTGGGCGTGGATTTTCTAGACATTGTAATGTGGACCCACACAAATATCAACGCTCGAGGGTCTAAAATTCTAAGAAGAAGAAATACAACGTGAGTGTCTCTCAAGATTTCTAATACTTTCAGAAGTTATGCAATTCACTACGGTTCTAGATTTCAAGGGCATAACATACCAGAGATCCTCCTCGAACCAGGCTTTACGACCCCATGACCGTTACCTTTAATATTTCAAATACAGAGTACGAAGTCTTTAGGCAATTGGAGTCCACAATACAAAACGAATGCATTGACTTTTTCCAAATCTTCACAATTAAATAAAATGTGGAATTTATATTGCTGTGTAAACAATGTCAGGTGGGACGTTGTATTTGGTTTTAAGGCGTTTGGAATGAATTTGGGTGCCTAATTGTTAATTAATGTCATCAAAAATTTTCTTTAACCAATGTCGTGAGTCTAATTACGTTTTAATACACAATTTTGCGAATCCAGCGTGTAGTCAAGGTCATGTTTATTTACTGTCTTTATAATGATAGTGTATTTCTTGGAATTGTTAGATTAAAGAATCTTTCTACCTCAATTTTATTTGTTATTAAGGCGCTGAATAATGTGAATGTGTCAGTTTCGATATGATTTACTAAAATTTTCGTCTGTGTGAGAAAGATAAAGGTAATTGTTTGAGATTATGAATTATGAAGTGGAAATGTTGAATTAGTTAAGGAAAAATTCTTAGAATTAGTGTAGACGAGACGTTTTTGATTGTTCTTCGCATCGGTTAGTTTCGTTTCTATGCATTTATTGGTTGTTAAGGTTTTAAGAAATTGTGGGATTTTGTTTTAAATACGAGAGACGCGGAAAGAAGACGCTTTTTTCCAAGTTCGAGGCCAGAGTGCGGTCCATGCTGTCTGTTCGAAGCAGTATTTTTCTTCGTATAAAGTTCTCGAGACCAAATTTTGGAACAGACGACTGTCGCATGATATTGAATATGCCATTTTTTTTGAGGGCACATTTCCGAGGACATTGACGAAAAACTTCCCTATTGTGTCGTGTATTTTTGGCGTCATTCAGGGGGCGACTTTACCTAGGGGAAACTTTAAGGATGCGAAAAAAAACGAAGCTAAAATAATAATCTATGTACGGGGTTTTTGGATACGTATTCCAGGTAGTGCCGTTACGTACAGGGTGATTTAAAGTCGTGGTTCACCATTTGGACCTCTGCAACGGTGAAAGATATAATATAGGTTGCCTCTTTCTGTGACGCTTTTGAAATTCTTGAAAAATCTTTGAAAATAATTGAGATATTACGGAAAAACGGAAAATGTCAATTATCGTATTTTACCTAGTTTAAGCAGTCGAGAATAGACGGTTCGCTTTAGCACTTCTTATGGGCACTTTTTATTCGGAGAATCTGGATCTCTTATTGGAATTTCCATAGCACGCTAGATGTTGAAGATACAGGCTACTACTTCCATATTTCTTATGGACGCCATATTGGATTTTTACGGAATGAGATAAAGGACAAAAACAGAAAAACGTCACAAAAAATTGTAAAATGAAATGTTTTACATTCATTCCTCAACAAAAGATCCATAACTGTATCTTGCTATGGCTGCGATAGCGATGCAATCAAATTAATTTCTTTTTTGGCCCTCTATCTCATTCCATAAAAATGTATTGTGGCGCCTATAAGAATTATGAAAGTATAGTAGCCTGTAGCATCTAGATCTAGCGTGAAATGGAAATTTTGATAACAGATTCAAATTCTCCGTATAAAAATAAAGTACCCATAGAAGGTGCCGACCGTTTAAGCTGGGGAAAATGTGACATTTTCAGTTCAGTTATCTCAGTTATTATCAAAGATTTTTCAAAAATTTCAAATGCGTTTTTTTAGTCATAAAAAAACACGCAGCTAAAGTCATCCCGCATAATTACTAAATTCTCCGGAATTCATTTTGGAACAGCAATCACATTTTGGTGCAATCGATGCCTGATTTTTAAATTTTTTTATGGTAATTTGTTTCAAAATTCTATATGTCACAGATCACCTTTTACCCCTGCACAACGGGTTGTTCATGGTTTAGCACAAAATCGAAAAACAGGAAATTTTACGCCTTGAATACGGTAGTATTATTATGTCTGCATAATTAGACGCACAGAGAGTGATAAGATTTTCGGTATAATAATTAATTTAATTTTAATTAAACATCTTGTAACGTTTACAAGTGTGGCATGTCCAAAATTAGAATTTTAAATCTAATGTCCGTATACGCTAGCTGCTAGCACCAAACGGAAAGGTTTCAGTAAGACATCTAATTGCTGGAATTGTACACATGCAGAAACTTATAATTACGTAACTCCAGAAGTTGCTCCGTAAATAAATGCAAATTACCGATTTAATTATACGTAAAAGAGTAATAAAGCATATACGTTTTCATTACTAACCAATAATTTTGTCAATTACTTCCCCTGTAGTTTTCCAGTTTTCCCACTTAAAACTCGATGCTACGCACAAAAGATCGCGCGGTCGGATTTACTTTTATTGTTTTATTTCTCATTTCGCCGTTATAATTACGGGCGAACTAAAGTAATTTAGTTTTATTTTCGCAGGTCGCGCAGTTGATTATCTACGAAAAATAAATTACAAGAACCAAGTAATATTTTGCATAGCACGCCGCTGAACTTTTTTACGGCTTTAGTGCCTTTAATTACTTACGAAGTAATAAAAATTATATACGATTTCCTTAAAGGGTAGCTAATAACTTTTAACACCATATGCGAGAAAATTAAAACGTTGCCTACGTAGAATCGAAAATATAAAATACTAGAAATTGTCACGTAAAGAAAAAAAAAACTTTGTCATTATTCCTTCACGCCATTCAGTTGCCCTCCGCTTCCAACAACCGTGAATGTTTCGTTAAAGCGTGTAATATTTTTTGCTACCGAGCCGAGCCCTTTTTTTTCGAAGCAATTTATTACATTAAATTGTAATACGTAACTGACAAAATAACACTTTATGAGCTTGCGAGAATTTTAAAGGGCCAATTTCTTGCTGTTTTATTTAGTGATGTCCTTAACTTCAAAAAGAATAAGCGTTTCTTTTACACAAAAGGAATACCCCAGCTGAAAATGTATGTGGGTAATGGCCGCCATACCTATTTATCGTCCTATTATTGAAAGTAAAAATGAAAAATGCTTGAATACGAAATATCGAATACATCAAAGACGTAAAAAGTACGCTGTCAATAAAATGAAATTTAATGACATTTAGAAATGGGTTTGCCTTTAATTTCCAAGTACCGGCAGCATTTTCTACACGTCTTAACATTAACTTAAACTATCAACGAAATTAGGTCTCTTAAATTTTGAAACGTTCGGTTTAATTACGTTAAATAATTGCAAAGCGGAATAAACTT